TCAGAGGAGTTTCGCGTACATTTCTACCATTCGTGGAAAACGTTCCAAGCACTTGATAAAGTGATAGTATCAATGTTCCTGTATCTTTGAAGTGATCGGATGCTACAACTTTCATCGTAGCGTCGAAATATGCCTTCACTACTACTGTAATACTAGGGTCGTCGCGTTCGAAAATAATAATCACTCCACAAAACGACGTACAACTTAATGCTTTATCCCGGTCTGCAGTTCGTGCCGACCATAGTAGCGTTCGCGACGCAACGGGAGGAAAAGAGAAAAAAAAAACGAATTTGCAAACATATAAAGAAATTGAAAGGTACCGTCCGAGCGCGATGCTATCGCGAAATTATTTCCAATTTCACCATTTTGCGTCTCCCGCCTTTTATTTCGGATGGCGGTTGTTTGTTGTTTTTTTTTCCGTCGTTCTTTATTTCGCATTTTATTTGCGGCGATGGCCGTCGGCGGGCGAGCTCCCATAAATTATAGTTCGGTAGCCCTCTTAAAGGGGTTTTCGGATTTTTTTTTTATTTTCGCTTAGCCCGCTGAAGAATTTATGTCCCGGTCTTACTTAGTGGCGGTCAGCCGGCTTGTCGGGTACGGGAATGGTACCGGATCCGATGGGTGCGTAAATAGCTCGCGCTTGGTATAATTTAGGGGTGGACAGAGCTCTAGTTGGCTCAAGACTCCACAGTTATCGAATTTACCGATCATGATCATCATCATTATTCAGTCTATGTTCAGCAGTGGTCAGCCACTGCTGAACATAGACCTCTCCGAATGATACTTTAAATAGTATGTTTTTTTGTGTGAGATGGTGGCAAGCGATCTGGCGATTCACCTGATGGTAAGTGACAACCGCCGCCCGTGGACATATGCATAGCGATGCAGATGCTTTGCCTCCTTATAATAAAGTGGGCCCCGGCTACCTCACTCATCAGACAAACGCAGAAGTACTTCCCCTTTACGCCGGTCTTCTGTGGGGTCGTGGTACTTGCCCGGACGGACCTGAGCATTGGTGCAACAGCATATACTGTTGCGTGGTCCTACCACCCTTAATCCTGCTGTTTGGATTGCTGTTAAGTGACGTATGACGAAAGCAGTTCATAATCACATTCGGTGCTATTTTAGGCAACATAGATTTATTTCGTATATACGTGTTCCACTGCTGTACTGTTAAAAAAGAGTAAAAAGCAGTTTATAGTTTTTTTATATGTAAGAGGGTGGCAAGTGAGCTGACAGTTTTTCTGGTGATAAGTGATAACCGCCGACCATGGATTGCAACACCAGTAGAGCTTCAGTCGCGTCGTCGTCTTATAGTATAGTGTGCCCCGGCCACCTCACTCGCCAGACAAAACACAGAATTATAACACTTCCACTTCATACAGGTGCTCTGTGAGGACATTTGTGCAACAATCAAAATTGTCAGGTCATTTGTGCAACAATGCAGACTATGCCGTGGCTCTCCTACGTTCAAAAATACTTGTTTGGTTAATACATATGTTACATATGCAAATGAATGCAACGAGAGATTTGTTGGAACATTGTCAAAATCTTTTTAACGGGAAGTTTGGTTAGATAGTGAGATATGACTTGAAGCCCTCGAAGACATGTATCTATAAAATAATATTACAGAAGTCATGAGACTATTTGCAAAATGTTAATTTCATACATACCTGCCACAAAATGGGTGCCGGCAAAATATTAATTTAATAATGTACAAAATGAAAACAATTTGTAAAGTAAATGAAGTGAATAATTATCTTGAAATAGTGCCAAATAAGTCAGTTGAAATTACATACATGAGGAATAAATTTACATACAACAAACACTTAGAAAAACTCCTGGTATGAAAATCGTACTACAGTTTTAGCCTTTATATACTTACAATTTTATGTACAGTCCAACATATCCCCTTCACTTGTCGAAAGATAGTATATTCGGTAGCATTTCCGGGTACACACAAATACATAAATACATATGTCATATGTATTTTTTGTTCAATTATTGATCAATTAAATAGACTAACACCAGCGTTGTTATATACACAGGCCGCAAAATATCGTCTCGAGAATCGTACGGCAGACAAAACGGATTCCGAATAATGGCAATTGGAATAGTTTTCGAGTTTTTTTCATCTCATTTCGAGCCTGGAAGGCATCCTAACGGTATCCACCGGGAGACATAACTTTGGGGCGGACCGGGCGCGACTTTTTATGTTATTTTCCCGTTGACCTCACATTCGTTGCGTTCTAAAAATGCAACGTTCGATCGGTAAACACTCCACGCTGGTTTCGGTGCGAATAACGAAAATTCTAAAGGTACATTTTATTTATATAGTTTGTACTTGTGACTGTCAACGCCGACCTTATGGACGATACCAAAAAATCGTTGACATTGAAGACTTATTTAAAATTATTACTACGCCGACAACGCTTATTAGGCAGCGATATGAAATTGTAATTAGGTACGCTCAATAAATCAAAAAATGTTCATGATTACGTTGTTAATTAGGCACGTTAAACAGAATTTTAAGTAACCTTTATCGTCACAGCCAGAATTATTATAAAAACTTTACTGGCAACTCTAATTGCGTTCAACGCCGGCCAAAATTAAAAAGAAAAGTCGCACCGCAAGAATCCCGCCTATTTTTAAAAATGGAACCCGACGATGATTCGCCTAATTAATAAACCAATCACGTACACTCGAGACGCGGCGTCGAGGCGCGGCGGACGTGCGGGCGCGGGGGATGAACGCTCGGAAATTCGAATACTATATTTTTTCTGCACCTGAAGCATCATGATGTTACTTGTAATTGGCTTGACGGCCAATGATGACGAATTTAGAAATGAATTATACACCAATGAGTTTACATCGCTAGGCTAGGAAGACCAAAATAAAAAGTGAGTTATCAAGATATGCCTTCGCGGGCGGTACTTCTCGGTATCTATTATTCACAAGACGAGCAACCGAAAAATAAAAATATAACGTAGTAACCAGGTTAGGTGGATCAATCTAGGAATTAGAAAAATTACAGAAGGGCTCCGTATATTTCTTAGAACGTTGTTTAGAATGCCGTGAATTATTTGACACAACGATATCTTTTTTTTTTCATCATCAGCACGCGAAGGAGCCCCGATGACCGGCAAAAGGCATCTTTTAATAATGACAGCGAAAAATTGTGTCAAAGAGTTTCGAGCGTCGGTGATTTAGGAAAAAATATCGTTTATCAAATAAATGCATTCCCGTTTATGTCCTTGCCCAGCGTGATTGTAAAAAAATTCTGAATAATAAACGCTTCGGTTGGCAACACTGGCAGGCCGAGGAAAGCCGAAGTGGGGCGAAGGAGGGCGAAGATTAGCGAGCGCGCGCTTTTTGCTTGCATCAATCGATGCGCTCGAGCATTCGCACGATGAATAATTCAAAAATTGACATGAAATGGCGTATGGTGCTTTTTTTTTAAATGAAAGGTGCCCGATTGAGGACTGTAACCGCCTGACGAATTCATTGGTCAACGGCTTTTTGCGTTCCGTAATTGCTGTATTTACTTTATAGATTATTAAAATAGGTATATCGACATATTTTTTCATTGACGTTCTTAAAGAATATTTATAAAAAAATATTTGACCTTTCAACTAGAAAAGTTTTTGAATGTTTATTGAATGTATTGGAGTGTTATAATTATTAGTACTTATTACAATTTTTGTCAAGATTAACTTAGTTATCCGTATTAGCTACAAAGCTTCTAGTCTGTTACTCCACGTATTTCGTTGTCTAGAATTTAGCTGATCGTCGGAACGGAAAAAACGTAATTAATTCGCGTAATGCTGTTAATGATGCATCGAAAACTTGCCGCCATTTCCAAGTATAAGTAATCTTGCCATCTGAATTCTGCTTGCGATTGGCCAAAAGTTCTTTGGTGCGTTTCGACCAAATGACTTTATCCTACAAGTGTCACTGACATTGATGGTATGGCCTCTTTTGGAGTTGCCCGTTAACAATAATACATTTACAATTAATATTTTATATTTTCAAAGTACCATATTCATAAATAGTAATTTGCGATACAGTTGCTTTTAGAAAGGAAATTTACCGGCAAACTAACTCATCGATAAGTTTTATATGATCACAATGATTTTGATATTTGTATAACGAAATCTGAAATTTAACGGTGGTAGGGCCACGCAGCAGCCTCGGCTGTTGCACGAATGGGCAGGCCCGTCCGGGTAAGTACCACGACCTCACAGAAGACCGGCGTAAAGTGGAAGTATGAAAAATGCTTTCGCGTTTCGTCTGGTAAATGGGGTAGCCGGAGCCAAATTTTTAAAAGGTTGTCAACGCATCTGTAACCCTCGGGTGTAGCAGATGTCCATGGGCGGCGGTATTCACTTACCATCATTCTTTTCACATAAAAAAAAACGAAATCTGAAAATCCTAAAGAACTCGTATGTTAATCTCGTTACATTCATTTCAGTCAGTCAGTATAATTATGACAATTAAGGAACGAATTGACTTTTCACTTTTGGACGCAAGGGCCAACACAACTTTCATAACAGTTCTGTCTGCACGAATAGACGAGCTTGACCGGAGAAATACCTCACACAGAAGTCCGGCGTAAAGTAGAAGTGTAATTTGTACCTTCACGACTGATGAGTGACTTTGCTGGGGCACACTTTATTAAAAAGTTACAACGCATCTACAACCCAACGGGTTTTGCAAACAGCCGTGTTGCAAACCAACGAGTGAGTTTTGTAAACCACCATGTAGGTGATAACTACCTCTAAGCCTGTAGGGTTAACGTTATGTGAACCACAAGGTCGCTTGCCATATATATTCTAAAAATATTAAAAAATACTTGGCCGTATCATCAATCGAGTGAGGTAAACGGACACCCACACTTTGTGTGTAGCAACGCGCCTGCACCATTGCTGGTGTAGTGAATGTATATGGCAGCTGCCCCATGTTTCTTTAAAATCAAAAAGTAAACTGAAGTGTGTACTCACTTGTAGGAGGAGAAAGACATGTTACTTTCCACACAGGGCTGATCTTCCACCGCTCCACTAGTCGTCAGCATCAGGGTGTTCATTCGTGTTTGTCTTTTACCAACAATCGACTATCGATACTTCTCCGGTTGTGCAGCACTAGTACATCAAAGTCCGTTGAGATTGCGTCAAAACGACGCGGTGCTTCATTATGCACGTCACATCACTAAAACTCCATCTGTCCTTGTTTCATTTCTGTAAACAAAGAATAATTACGTTAATAAAAATTGAAAAGATCATACAAAAATTTTGGCTTTGGTTTTAAATCCCTATAAATGTAAAAGCTTTTAACCAGAATAAATTTGACTTGCGTCTTCTCCTAGGTACAAACTTAGAGTACCGCACACATCTAACGTGGCTAATCTTAATTTAATAGACAAAATATTTTGATCCAGCAAAATTTTTAAGAGATTCCGGTCCCGGCACCAATGAAATTGTTAATTTAAAGTGCTGCCTTATCACGTGCTCAGCAGTGAAGAAAACAATCGCGAGGAAACCTGCATACTTTCGAAAGAATAACAAAAAAAAACATTTCGAAGATATGTGAAGTCCGCCGATCTGCAGCCGGATCCCGTGGTGGATTAGGCATATTACCTACCCTAAAACAAGAGCTCAATTCTCAAAAGGTTGTCAATGCATCTGGAACCCTCGGGTGTAGCAGATGTCCATGGGCGGCGGTATTCACTTAACATCAGGTGAACCGTCTGCTCTCTTGGCAACTTTTCACATAAAAAAATACCTTCTGTACGGAGGAGGCCTTTGCCCAGCAGTAGGACACATGAAATTCGGCTGTTACACTAAGTAGAAGTGTACTTTTAAAGTCAAATAAAAAAATCGTGTCTTCCCTTTCTTTTTCATATAACTGACAACTTGTAAATATTTTCGCTACAGTGTCCATAAGCAGTCGAAGGCGACCAACGGTTTAAGCAGAGATCGGAGCTTAAAGCACAGTTCTTGCCCCTAGTCGCGTGCCCTCTTGGAAGCACCAAGCCGGCAGCGTCTTTTTGTGCGCACCATAAAGCGGTAACCGCGAAGGGGAGAAGCAATTAAACCGACTCGGGGGTAATCTACGACTGTACGACCGACCGTAATAGGCGAGAGATGATAGCGATACGCGAACAGTGACCAACAAGTCTGCTAATTTTTTTTTATGTGAAAAAGTGGCAAACGAGCTGGCGGTTAGCCGTATGTTAAGTGATAACAGCCGCCCATGGACATTTGCAACACCCGTAGGGTTGAAAATGCGCCTCCAACTTTAAATAAAGTGTGCCCCGTCTACCTCGCTCACCATACGAAACGCAGAAGTTTAACACTTCTACTTTACACCGGTCTTCTTAGAGGTTGTGGTACTAACCCGGACGAACCTGCCCATTCACGAAACAGCGAACACTGTTGCGTGGCCCCACCGCTTTAATATCGATTCAATGCCGCGTCAGCGCAGAGCCGTGCCGCATCCGAACTGCATACAGCTCTCCCGACTCGAGTGGGCACTCGAATAATCTTAATATGATACAGCTGTCACGCGTGGTGAATAAAAGTGTGCCCTTTTGCGGAGGATAGCGGGCCCCGATTTGAACGCCAAAAGAAATATTGGTTGCGAATAAGGAGCGCGCTTACCCGGAATGGACGGCATTACGCATTAAAAGAATTATTTTAACGGTTACCGTTAATTGCGACGTAAGAGAAGGGCATAACTCGTACGGTTAGACGTGTTCCCGTGTAATTTTTATGCGTCAATAAATTTTTACAGATTTTTTTTACCTAGATAATTTAGTTTTTATTTTGAATCAACTTTTTTGTTTTTATTATAATTAATTGAATAAATAAATTCGGGTATGGTATTATATTTCATTTTATCACAATTAGCTTTAAATCGACCGAGAACTTTGCAAACACTTTGTTAAACATTTCACTTCTTTTAATGTATGATTTCTTTCTTGTATGGTTTTCTTTTTCTTTAAAGAATGTTTCAGATCATTTAATACGTCCTGTAATATAAACCAACTTTTGTAATATAATTGTAACTATAAAAAATTATTAATAAGCATTTAAGTTAAACGAAAGATTTTAAGATCTACCTTGATTTCTATTTGGGACCTATTTTTAAATTTGTACAAATTATTAAATCAACCTGAGTTATCCTGTCATAGAGATTTTATAATCGCTTTTTGGCATGTGTGTTTAAGTAACTTTCCATTTTAGACAGTAAAACCATATAGGTTATGGTCATTGATTTTGTCTAGAGAAAAATCAACCTCCGTTGAAATAATTGAAAAGCAATATTTCACGAGCGAAACCATTTGGCATTCTCGTGAGCACGTTTTTTATCGACACCATAATCATTTGATTGGACATTTCGGTTCGTCGTTCTATTCTTGAAAACTTGTTATGATTTCATCCGCACTAATCTAACATATCTGGTAGTGGTCGGACTGCATCAGATCTCAGATACGGAGGCCTGCTCGTCCGTACGGCGGGAACCGGCTCGGCGGCCATATTGAATCTGATTGACAGCTGTCAATGTTGGCGGCACTGCGACGCGTCGCCGCGCCTGCGCACCGCGCTACAAGCATGCCACTAATTCCCCACAAAAAATATAACCGCGTTCAAAATATAACAGTTAATGTGTGGGGGCCAAGACGTATTGCCACTGTAAAAAGCGCGCGGGAAGCAATTGCCTATAAACTACAGCTAATACAACGTTCGATTGAGATTCTTCTAATGATCCGATATACCATTTATTCAGATGTCATGACTTTTTGTGCGAGTAGCGTCTTCGGTACACTTAGAGTTCATTTTATAATATAAACAAATACTTTGAATGTTTATGAGTTTCGAATCTACTCACACACTGTATTAGATTGGAATTGTAACCGCCGGGCCAGAGCCGCAATAACAGCTTATTATCGTGCATCAACAAAATTAGCACATCAGCACGCCCTTCGCAATATCCACGCGAAATCTATAATTTTCACAACCGCAGCCGGCCATAAAGCTGGGAGGAAAACCGCCCAATAATTCATTAACTTTACTATTACAATAAATCTTGTTTTACGACCAACGTGACGTCACAGAAACGTGTGTCAGTCAACATTAAGCGAGGCGAGCGTTGCGACTGCACTCATAGAATGAAGCGCACGGACAAGGATGTTATTATATTCTATGTAGCGTTTCTTAATTTCATAGCATCCGAGTATTTGAAGAATTAGGAATTTGTGAAGTTTAGCGTTATATTCCGCTTAGGTGGAGTAGATTGACGAAGGCTATATTATCCCACTCTGTGATAATAAAGAGGAATACATGTTTGTTCGTTTGTAATGCTTATAATTATAATTTTTAACAAAAAAGAAATCCGACTTCAAACCGAATCTGAAAAAACATTGTTAATACCTATAACATTCGACGATTGCCCTTTATTTCTCTGGGATGCCATCATCAGATCCGGGTTTCCTTATCATGGTACCACCGTTGGGATATGTACTTTGCAACAAAAAAATCATCAAAATCAGTTCATAAACGATGAAATTATCGACGAACAAAAATCGAATTGCTCCTTCTTTTTTTAAGTCGTTTAAAACATTGCTTATAAAGCAATATTCGGTGCTTTAAATCCATTGGGATAATATAGCTTTTGTTTCTTGAGCGCAATTATTCGTGCATCGGTAGCGTTGTGCTAGTTTTGTAACGACTCTGATCTTTTTCCGTTAATGAATAACTACGTTATTAAAAAAAAATTGCCACGAAATTCAAAATTACTGTCCGATTGAAACATAGCGTCGACTCAACTGACGGTCAATTGTTTTAGTTTTCATTAATAAATAATTTAAATGAAAAGATACATTTATATGAGTTAACATATTTTAACATAACATTATTTTTGTAGTTGTGAGATGAAAAATTCAACTTAACTAAGATTTGCCTATACGAGCGAAGCTGATGCGAACATGCTAATATCGAATGTATGAAGCTTCTTTTAATTCGATAAACGCGAATAAATGAACCAATAATCATGACCGAAACTAGCCCTTTTTATCACACAGGCCGCCAAATCACCACTCAGTAGATTCAAGTGCCTGAAACAGAGAGAACAAGTCCGCAGAGTTTCTTGCCAGTTCTTCTCTGGACAGCTCTAAATAAGTAACCTTGTGGTACTTTTCTGAGGTTCAAGAGCATGAAACAAGCTTTTATTGAAGCAAAATCTGAAACAGAATTTAGCCGAATTTATCGTCATGCTTAATTGCGTACGCTGCTGGATTGCGTCGCGAATCCTGGGTTCGGTTGACCTGTAGTTTTTTGGTCCCTTTGAAATGTTTTCCGATGAAAAATTCTTAGTTCAACACATGAAAATACCTTTTTTCAAATTGTCTAAAACTAAAAGTTCACTGACTAGGTAGGTCAATTTTTCAAGATTTTAAATATAAAGTCAAAAGAGTAAAGTAACTGCCTATACATGTTTCAATGCTGGACAAAGGCCTTCGGTACAGGGGATATCAAGACATAGTCCACCACGCGGCCCCATTTCGGTTGAGCGAATTTCACATATTTAAGAAATATATTTGTTGTTATTATTTCGAAAATATGCAGGTATCCTCACAAGGTTTTCGTTCATCACTGAGTATGTAAGTCAGCACTTAAAATTAAAAATCTCACAGGGGATCGAACTCAAATTGCTCGAGTATACGCTTGCCTATAATTCAATTATAGGCAAGCGTTCGGACACTGAGCTAACCCGGCTCAACATTTAATTAAAACGGATTTTATCTCTTCTTTCGTTGCGTTGATAAAATAGAAATGGGATTTTTTTATTTTGCGTGTATAAATAGTCTAAAATGTACGAAAAGTATTTTTTTCGCATCAGCCAGGATTCGAATCTGTGCCTTGCGGTTAACGCGTCTTCAATGTATTTTTTTAAAGGCGTATCCAGTTAAATACCGCTAATTTAATTATCCCCAAAAAATTCTATATCCGGGGGTTCTTTATATAGATTCTTTATAAAATGTATTATTCAACCATTTTTAATCATTGTAAGTGAATCCTTTGTACC